AACTATGTTGAGTCTTAGATAACCTGTATTTTCACCCAGACTTCACCAATGGATTATAGAGCCTTAGGCAAGTCATTCAACTTCTTTCTTCAGTTGTTGCATATTTGTAAAGTGCTTTGAAATCAGTAAGTAAAAACTCCTACTTCAGCTCAGTGTATTATTCTGCTCCCATAGCTGATCTTCTAGTGTACTCAGCTCCAAAAACATTACCTTCTAGGCTAACCTTACATCTGCATCTGAAGTAATGGATTTTAACGTTTGAATTGGAAAACATTATAAAGTCAAAAGTCTTTAACATGTTAACATTACAAAAGAAAAATCCATTTTTCTTTGAAAATAGTATTTTTTCCCTATTTACCTCAGAAGTCAATTTTAATATATTTCAAATATTCACTGATTTTTGTTATTGAAGTAGTCTTCCCAGAATTACATAGGTTAACTCATTTTTAAATAAACTTCTCTGTGATAAGGTTAACCAGTGTAACTTTTGCCCCTGTGTTACACTGTTCCACAGTAATCACAGATTCTCCCACGTATTGTTTCTCCCTCTAAAAATACCCTAATCTCTCCTGCCTGCACCAACCATCTTTTTGCAGTATGTCCACTTTTCTCCATGTTCCTTCTCTATGTTTTCCAACCTGCCATCTGTACATGCTAAATGTAATCTGTAGGATGAATTCTTTCTGAATTCAGCCCACACTTCCCTCTTCAGGAGCATGGTTATCCTCCACTCATCCACCAATCTACATCACTTGAACACCCACAAACACACAGACCTTGCAACCTCTGCTTCTCAGATGTGGATTCCAAAGCAGTAATACTGGAGTAGGGCAGGGATCTGTGAGGGAGGGAGTGAGGGAGTGGTCTGCATGTAATTACATTAACCTAATTGTATTAGAAATATTAGAAATAGGGCTGAAGACTGATTATATGCAATAAAATTGACAGGTCAAGAAATTTAGCTGAGTTTATATTGTGTATAATAGTAATTCTAACATTAAAAGAAAAAAAAAAAAAGAGGGCTAACAACAATCCCCATCCTTTATTAGATGTGGGGGGAAACATAATGACAAAAGATAAGGAAAAGGCTGAGGTACTTAAAGACTGAGGCAAAGAAGGCATTAATTGTTAGTTCTCTGGGTACCCAGACCACAGGGACAAGGAGCAGAATGAAGCCTCCACAAGCCAAGGGGAAATGGTTAGCAACCTGCTACACCACATGGACACACACAGTTCTTTGGGGCCAGATGGAATCCACCCAAGGGTACTGAGGGAGCTGGCAGAAGCGATCACCAAGCTACTTTCCATCATCTATCAGCAGTCCTGTCTTACCATGGAAGTCCCAGTTGTCTGGAAGCTAGAAAATGTGAGGCCCATCTACAAGAAAGTCTGGAAAGAGTATCTGGGTAACTACAGGCCTGTCAGTCTGACCTCAGTCCCGGGAAAAATTATGGAGCAGATTATCTTGAATTCCATCACACAGCATGTACAGGACAACCAGGTGATCAGGCCCAGTCAGTGTGGATGTGTGAAAGGCAGGTCCTGCTTGACTAACCTGATCCCCTTCTATGACAAGGTGGCCCCCTTAGTGAAGGAGAGAAAGGCTGTGGCTGTTGTCTACCTGGACTTTAGTAAAGTCTTTGACACAGTTTCCCACAGCATTCTCCTGGAGATACTGGCTGTTTGTGGCTTGGATGGGTTCACTCTGTTTGGTAAAAATCTGGCAGGATGGCCTGGCCCAGAGAGTTGTGGTGAATGGAATTAAACCCAGTTGGTTGCTGGTTACAAGTGGTGTTCCCCAGGACTTGGTATTGGGGCTAGTTACCTTTAACATCTTTATCAGTGTTATGGACAAGGGGACTGAATGCACTCTCAGTAAGTTTGCAGGTGACACCATGTTGGGTGGAAGTGTTGATCTGCTTGAGAGTAGGAAACCTCTTCAGAGGGATCTGGAGAGGCTGGCTTCCTGTAGTGAGGCCATCTGTATGAGGTTCAACAAGGCCAAGTGCTGGGTCCTGCACTTGGACCAGAAAAACTGCATGCAACGCTACAGGCTTGGGAACAAATGGCTGGAAAACTGCGTGGTGGAAAAGGACCTGGAGGAGTTGGTTGACAGCCAGGTGAATGGATATGAGCCAGCAGTGTGCCCAGATGGCCAAGAAGGACAATGGCATCCTGTCCTGCATCAGGAACAGTGTGGCCAGCTGGACTAGAGCAGTGATTTTCTCCCTCTACTGGGCATTGGTGAGGCCGCATCTCAAATCCTGCATTCAGTTTTGGGCCTCTTGCTGCAAGAAAGACATTGGGATGTTGGAGTGTGTCCAGAGAAGGGCAACAGAGCTGGGGAAGGGTTTGGAGCACAAGTCCTGTGAGGAGCAGCTGAGACAACTGGGGTTGTTTACCCTGGAGAAGAGGAGGCTCCGGGCTGACCTTATCGCTCTCTACAACTACCTGAAAGGAGGTTGCAAAGAGGAGTGTGTTGATCTTGTCTCCCAATAAACAAGAGATAGGACACGAGGAAATGGCCTCAGTTACACCAGGGGAGGTTTAGACTGGATATTAGGAAGAATTTCTTCACTGACAGGGTTATAGAATCATAGAATCATAGAATGGTTAGGGTTGGAAGGGACCTTAAAGATCATCTAGTTCCAACCCCCCTGCCATGGGCAGGGACACCTTGCACTAGACCAGGTTGCTCAAAGCCACATCCAGCCTGGCCTTGAAGACAGCCAGGGCTGGGGAATCCACAACATCTCTGGGCAACCTGTTCCAGTGCCTCACCAATATTCGTCAAATATTGGAATGGACAGGTGAGGTGGTTGAGTCACCATTCCTGGAGGTATTCAAAACGTGCAGATTTGGTGCTTAGGGATGTGGTTTAGTGGTGGACTTGGCAGTGCTAGGTAAAGGGTTAGACTAGATGGTCTTGAAGTTCTTTTCCAACCTAAACGATTTTATTATTCTAACTTTCTGTATTTGTTTTTGTTGCTTTTACTTTTTTTATTTATTTTAAAGTGCTTGATTTAGAAGTCTAGATATTTCAGTATTGTATTACATTTGATAGTAATGAATCCAACAGTGATTACAATGTCTAGCTCTCAGTTAATTCTCATCTAGAAAAAATGTACTTTTAAGATGCACTGGATTTTTTGGTTGTGGTTTTGCAGGAGTAAAGATTAAGGAGTCATTATCTAAAATGTTGTGATTGATCTTGAACAGTTCACTGATTCTTGCTTTACATTGGTGTTTGTTATGTAAAAAACAATCAATAACTCTAATTCTGTTTTCCTTTTTAAGCACTGCTCATGCATGTAGTTGGTTATTTAACACTGAGGTATACCATAAACATTTGAAATGTCAGAATGTTGCTTGCTATTTAAACTCTTTAAAATGCTTACTACATAGTAATGAAATATGGAATCAGTAAATTCATGCCTGACCAAAAAGATTAGTAAAAGGATAAAATTAGATGGCCAAAACAGCTAAAAATCCAATTATACCTGATGATCTTAGTCTTCCTCTGTGACTGAACCACAGACCTTGTGAGTAGAAAAGTAGCAGTATTGTCATGTTACCTTGACATAACTTTCAAAAAGGCTCATTCACCCTTTTTCTAAGCCAGACAATTTAATTCACATTACATATATTTATAAGTGGCTGAATAATCAAAGACAAAAATGATCTCATAATCAGCTCAACTTGTAATCACAGTCATTCTTATTTAAACTGGCCCTCCTTTGGGTGGGAGTTACACCAAAAGAAATCCAGAGGTCCCTTCCAATCAAAATAATTGTATAGTTATGTGATCCTATGATACTGAAGGAGTATGCAAGGATTTTGGAAGGTGGGGATAAAATTAAAGATGTTCTAATATCTATTTAATAGGAAGTGCAAATAGATTTCACCCTGATTAATGTCAGAGGAACAGACTGAATAATGTCCCGAAACCTTACTGTCTGTTACTTTGGTGGTTCACTGATAGTAAATATATTGGTGTTGCAAAGTATAGTGTGAAAAATTTGTGCTATTCTCTACTCAATTGTTGGAACATTCTGACTGTCTTAGTGCTTTATATCAACAGGATGTGAAAGCTGTGTTTAGATTATATATTGGTACACAGCTTCATTCTTAGGATTAAAGATTCAGAGAGAAATGTTATATTAAGAAATGTGCCAAAGGAAAACAGCTGTCTGGGAAAAGTGCTGTGAAAGCTATGTAGATTGTAAGCATAACTAATATACTTTCACATGACTCCATAATAATTAAAGCAATGTTTTTTTGCATATACAGTCAAATGATTGTGCGGTCAGAATTTATACATTAATATTACAGTATAGCCATATACTTTACATTTAAATGTTATAAACATTCAGCTCTAGGATTTTAAACTTTAACCATAGTATTCATGTTCAGTGAATATTCATTGATGTATAGAAAAGCATGAAGGGTCATTTAAATTGTAAGAAATATGGGGCTTTGAGTGTTGGGAGGGATAAACCTAAATGCTTTTACAACATTCAGTGCTACTGAATTGAGAAATATTCAGATAATTATCTGAATAACAGTGAGCACTGGTTTAAGTTGATGTTCCCAAGAAAGTCAAAGAACTATATGAAGTGAATTAAAATATGTGGGATGTACTATCTATTGATATTTATTCTTTTTCTCCTTCCTGACTTTTAGAAAAGTTATAACTGAATAGATATGATCAGAGTAATGTTTACCTTTTTCCTTATGTCAGTAGTAAAAAAAAAAACACTTATTAGTTAGGTAAATGGTTTTTAGACATTTTATTTGATGCACTCTAAATTACAATTAAAATAATACTAAAAATTAAATATTATAAATTACTTAATATCTTAAAGATCTGAAGCTGAGATATATTGCAATGCACTGATGCATGTATGAACTCATCTGCTTTGCGTATAATGGCCTTCCCTATTTGTACATAATGCTCACAGTAGTTGTGACTTTCTTTGATTTTGTGCTTTTCCTTCCAGGTTTGGATTGATTCTTCACAAAGATGAGCCTGTTCTTCAGAAAATTGATCTAGAAACTATGTCGTACATCAAGACAATTAGTTTAAAGGATTATAATTGCATTCCTCATTCACTGGCTTATACACACCTTGGAGGATATTTTTTTATCTGCTGTAAGCCTGACACTACTGGGGCAGTCCTACCACAGCTTATAGTGGATAGTGTAACTGATTCTGTGATTGGATATAATGGCAATGTAACAGGCATGCCATATATCTCTCCAGATGGACACTACCTTGTCAGCATTGATGATGCAAAAGGTCTCATGAGAATCCAGTCCATAACAATGAAAGGAGAAATCCAGGATGCATTTGACATTCACACTAATTTGCACATATCTGATGTAGCTTTTCAGCCATCATTCACTGAAGCTCATCAATACAATGTCTACTGTAGCTCCAGCACACAAACTGATGTTCTCTTTGTGGAGCTCTCGTCTGGCAAGGTTAAGATGGTGAAGAGTCTGAAGGAGCCTGTGAAGGCAGGCGAATGGCCTTGGAACAGTAAGAACCGTCTTATAAAAGACAGTGGCCTTTTTGGTCAGTATCTCATGACCCCTTCCAAGGAATCTCTATTTATCCTGGATGGACGGCTCAATAAGTTAAATTGTGAAATCACTGAAGTTGAGAGAGGCAACACAGTAATTTGGGTTGGAGAACCATAAGGATCTGTGTTAGATATTTGCCGAATTAATAGTTTTACAGTACATTGCACTTAAATGGCACCGTTCTTCAAATTTATACAATTTTCATTTTAAATTGTTAGACCCTTCTATATCTGTTACTTCTTTGACTTGAACATAATTTGAATCATCTTCAACATAAACATTAGTAAAACAATGGCTATTTGATAATGGTAATCCTTATTAATTATCATCTGAGATTGTGTAGTTTGACTGAAATTACAAAATATTTAATTTGATTATAAATATCATACATTATTTTAAAGGGAGTAGGAAAAACAACCCGAAAAATCTTCAGGGAATTTAATATCATACTTTGCATTTGTAAATGGAAAACTTAAATATGATTTAAATTTTGGTATGGTTTGCTTCAGACACAAAATAAGAGCTGTTGTACAACCTTTGACTCCTTAAACAGAAATGTTATGTCCTCTCCTCCAATCCACTGTTTAATCTTTTTGTGCCTTGAAGCGAAAGTCTCACATGAAAGGTAAAACATAGAAATTGTATAATCTATTCCCACTGTGGCTACAGGATTGCTTGTCATTGGAAAGAAACTTTTGTTATCAAATTCCTAGTCTCAAGTTGTGGAACATACATGGAGAGAAAAAAAAAGAAAAGAAAAAAAAAGGAGACATCATATTTGCAGTGTTTTCTGATCATTGCAATTTGAGTTTATTTTTATGGTGAGTCTTAGTTAACAAAGCTGCTTGTAGAAGCTTAAAGTTTTTTTAGAAAAAAAAATAGATGTTTGTTTTCAGCTACCACAGGGTTTCATCAGCAAGGAGTTTCAGTTTTACAAAACAAAAATATTGCACTTATCCTTTCAGAGTAAATCATGTTCTAAAAACCTGGCATCACAAAGCTTCACTCATATCATTGAGGAAACTTATTTAAAAACAAAAAAATGCATTTTAACAAATTGAAAATGCAAAGAACTGGTCTACAGCTAGTAGACAACATTTTTGCTTATGCATTGTACATCATCCATATTTGTTAACCCATTTGCATAGCTCAACTGGTTTTCTGTTCTACACACCTAATTGGATTAGTGCAAAAAACAAACAACAAAAACTTGGTATTTTTTATAGTTTGTTTACTTAGAATTCTAATATTAAGAATAGTTAAACATGTAAATGGGAAAAATAAGACTCCCAGAAGCAGAATAAAATGTCAGTAGGCTCAGAAAGCTAGCAGTAAACAACTATCCAGACTTAGAGCAATGACTTAAAAGTTTGGGAGAATTTTTATTTTTATTATGTTTTTGCTAAAGAATGCTTATAAGATCTTAAACTGACCTCCATTTACTGAAGGCAATCAGAAAAAAATATCTTTTTTTAAACAAAATTTTACTGCAATTTAGATTGTGTAAAATTGCTTAGAAATCTGGAATTTTCTAGCATTGTAATCTTGTGTGCATTTAGCATCCTGCCCTGTGTGGTACAGTTGATCTCTCTAGCTTGAGCAAACCTCCTGGTAGGTAAACTAAAATAAGAGTTGGCTTACATTTCTAGCTACTGAATCTGTTTTCCTTTTTAACAACTTTTCTCCATTGTGAACAAACAAGAATCATGTAAACTGTCTGTTACTCACTTATTTGCAGTAGTCTGTCTCATGAATTTTTCTTCTGTAACTTACATCATGTGAATGTTCTGTATGTAGAAAATGCTTGACAATAGGAGAATAAACCCCATAAATTTTAAACAGTCCTGACTTTGGTGAATGCTCCAGTGTAGCCACACTGACGTGGCATGTAACACAGACTTTATCTGAAAGCAAGGCAGAAGGAAGTTTATCTGCCTATTATTTTATATA